TATAAACCACATCTCTTGAAATGTAGATAGACGACAGAAACCTAGTTCCAGCTCAAGGTCAGTAGTACTAACTGCACATGCAACTGGTCAAATCAGAGACACTAAGCCACTGACTAAAGAACAGATGAAACTAGAACTAGGATTCTGAGTGGAAAATGCATGACTGATATTGGTCATTGGATATCAAGATATAAAATTTGGAAATCAGATAATTGTATTTAGACTTTTATTTCCTGCACACTTATACTATATACACAGTCGCTCTTTTGAATTACTCATTCAAATTCACTTATCATTGTCTCTGATGTTAACAGTAATATTACATATTCATGTATTTATCTTTAGTGTAATAGATGAGATAAACCAATGAGATATAATGAGATATGATCCGTTTATTTCTAACAACTTCTATACTTCACCTACAATTAAAATTTCAGCAGAATAAAAATATTCTAGATTGAATCCTTAAACAATGTGTGAACCACTGAAGAGTTCCAATAAGAAGAAAAAGACAACTATCTAATTACTCCTCCCAAGTTTCAAACTTTTAAAATTCAGTACATCAAAAAGTGAGAATATATGGTCAGGCAATGTTGATTTTATAGTTTAAAAGAAAATATGATGTTGTGATGATAAGTTACTAGTTGTTTTGATTTAGTTAGCTATGAAAATTATATGATATATTCGCTTCTTACACATAAATATATATTCATATATATGCATATATATATATATATATATATATATATACATATATATATATATATATATATATCTGTGTGACTTTTTCTAACCGCCTAATTTCTATGCTTCATCTCTACATTAGGAAATTTGCATTTACGTGACAAATATATCAGAGAAAATAAGAGAGTGAGAAATAGAATGTGAAAAAGAGAAAAATAACTAATGAAGTTTTAGTATGAAAACAAAAGAGAAATTGTACATTTGCTTTTAAAAAAAATTAGGAATTGGAAATAATTTTTTTCTTGCTACTAATTACAAAAATGTATAATTTAAAATCTCAAGAGAATTTTTTTTAGAATTTTTTTTTTCTAAAAATGAATAAATACAAACTCGATTTATCTTAATATTTTGTTGTTGTTGCTGTTGTTGTCGTTGTTGATTCAAAGCAAAGATTGATGTGTGACCAATTCTGTCAATGTACGCAGTATTTCTCTAATGCTTGTGAATCGAATTAAGCCACACAATTAATTCAGTGTTACAATGAATATTATTATTAACACGACTTAGTGCTGTAACACTACTATAATTAGGTTGACGGAGTTTGATGTACACTCTAAACTGTTGATATAAATATTTTACAAAATCATTCCATATGAAGATGAGTTTCTGTCAAGTGTGATTGCTTGCAGTTGTTAATATTGCATAAGAATAGAATTTCGTCTTATTTTCAATGTCTTCATTTTAAACAATGACACTTTTCAATTGTTTTAATAACTGGAAACAGTCCAGGTTTTCTGTTTAGTTGTAAAATTCAACTTTGATAGGTTACTGTCTGTCATAAAGGTATTTCGCTTTCTTTTTGATCAGATGTAGGTAAAAAATAAATACTGCGAGCAGGAATTCAGAAGAGAGAATAATGTTGGGAAATATACGGCAAATATCCACGTAGCATAATAGTACTTTTACTAATCCCAAATAATGAATTTAACAGACAGAAGCATGCAACTGCAATCTCACAACTATTTATCAACCAAACGTAAAATTCCCAAGTGAAATATTTCAAATAAGCTAGTTATTAACGAGCGAACACTTGGAAATTGCCAAAACGCGCAATTTAAAAATGTATGTACAGATATGACCTTACTTTTTTGGAAATACTAAATATGAATTGAATCATATTTTATAAAGTATCTAATACTTATCAACTGGTAATCAGCTGTACACTTTGGATGGAAATTTGGCGGAATGGTCTCTTTATCGATGTTCTTTAGATGGTCAAAACAATTCTTTCCCTAAAAACCGAATCGAAACCAAAACTGACAAATTTCATAACGAGCTCCTTATCAGCTAAAACAAGAATCTAATTCTCTCTCTCGTCCTTTACATCAGACGAATAACCACTCATTATGTTGTACAAGAAAAGATAACGGTACCTCAGAAATCTACTGTCTCAAAATTGATATTCAACAAAACCTGTAGACCGAATAATAAAGTCCAAACCATTCAGGGAATTGTTGACTTCGACATCGAAAAGATGCATTACGTGGAAGTTGACTTTGAGGATAAAACATTGGTGGGATTGAGAATCTCAAGTTGTGTATGCAAAAAAGCCATTAAACCTTTTCTTTTACTATGCTTGTAATCTCTTGACTTAGAAATCACACTTTCCTTCTTTAATATCTCAAATTTCCAAATAAAATCTATTGGTTTGCTATTCTATGCTTTTTCTAATTGTATTTCATTTTCAGATTTATCTTACGATGTTATACAAGACACATTTTATGCTTTCTGTTACGTCACTTGTGAATATTGGTCATTTTCCATAGCAATTCTACATACGGTCTTGTAGAAGGAATATTACATTTTACATTGTTATTCATTCATTATCTAAAATCTCTAAATGTCGCTATAACTAAAAATTATTCTCAATGCCTGACCTAGATTATGTAGCAAGTTTTGCCTAGAAATTTAAGGTATATATATATATATATATATATATATATATATATATATGAAATCAGAAAGTGAATTTATCATACATTTCTGTACATGAAAAGTGCTGTTTATCATCACTCATTAGTGAATCCTAGAAGTGTATTGAACGCTTATGCTGCCTTAGTCTGGTAATCAATGACTCCTAGATATACCTCCACCTAACAGCCTATACGAACCTCTAGACCATTTTTCCTCCTGTTGTACAGATATCACAGGAAATGTCCCTATTTTAAATTTATTTTAACTGAAAAGAGTTTTGTATGTTAACATGCATAGCTTACAATTTTTCATTAGGCTCATTCCTTTCAAATTTTAGACGGAATGACTACAGTGACTGGCATATCTCTCTCCTTATCTTCTTTTGAAATGAACCAGAGGCGACTACGCTGGAATTTGTGTACCAACTATGTATCATCATTCATTAAATAAGCTAACAAATCTAACATATACATTCTTTTTAATTAATACATATTTACAAATATAGACATGAGGTTTCTCTTAATGTTTTTTTGAGCAAAAAAAGTTACAAACTACTAGGTATTCAAGATGCAATGACAAAGAATTGCGCGAGAACAGTTAGATAATATTTTTATTTTATTTTATATATATATATATATACATTTATGTGAAAGGTATTTTTACCCATGAGACCGGCGAAAAAATTAAATAATTTCCCTGTAGGGCATATTGATAATAATAATGATTATTATTATTTTGTATGAGGAAAAAAACTGATTTTTTTCCTCATGAATAAAATAATCAGTTGTATTAGATATTTATGTATGACACATTGATAAACCATAGATAGTTAGATTCTAATGAAAAAAAAAATGTGTAAAATAAAATAGGTGATTGTATTACACTAACTGTAATGAAATTGAATTATTCAGCGTGTTTTTCTATCTCATGTCTTCTTAAAGGTGACCGTTTGTAAATAAGCCTATGCACATATTCTAAGGTCAGCCAGTGGAATTTAGATATATTTTTGTAAACTAACACTTGGGAATTCCATTCACTATTTTTGCCTTTTTTCAATAAATCTCTATATTTTTTTATTTGGTTGGTAATTCAAGCTATTTATCAATAAAAAAGTGGGGAAATGTCTATCGACTTTTCATTTCTGATAAATTTTTGATGAGTATGGAAATAGGAAGAGTATAATGTGAATTCATTCCCTTCTCTAGAAATCGAATCAATGTTTAGTCTTTTGAGACTCTACAACAATGCTTACTCATGACCCTAACCTTAAACTAACCCAAAAACTGTAATCCTTGCCGGTGAATGTCAAACTTCTAGACCATTAAGTCAAAATTTAGTAGTCTGTATTCCCAAATTAAGTTAAGCGACTACATAACATAACTAATATGGAAAACTAACTTCTTTCGAAATGAGTGAGCTTAACCATTTATACCTTCTGATCAAAACTTTGGTAAATTATTTTGGAAATAATGGTTATTTAGTACACAGTTATTATTTTTTGACGATATCTAGATAGAAGAGTTTCAACCCAGGTATCAACAGTCACCCATTTTCTAACTGTTCTTAAACTAGTGTCAGTCAAGGATCAGATTTAGTTACGAATCAGGCTGATGTCCACAAACCCTAATCACTGAAGACGTATATTGAGGATGGCACCCAAATGTGTAACAAGACTAGCCCTTACTTACAATCCTTAAGGCTAAAAGAAATGAGGAAGACTAAAGAATACATTACACTGAGTACTGGAGACAGACATGAGAAGAATGAACAATAGTTGGATAGAACTGGAAAAGAAGGCCTAGGATAGCTTGAGTTTGGTGTTGGGGACGTTAGATCTCCAGAACTCATTTGATAAAGGCCTTAATTCTGGATTTTTTTCATGGGCTGATCAGCTGACCTTGAGATCACATTTCCCACCAGGAAAATCCTTGTCTGTGATTGGTTTGTGTTATTTTAGTGTGCTATTTTTGTGACTCTCCCAAAGACGTTTCTATGATATATAAACAAAAGCGATTTGTATGCTTGAAATTATTGTGTTTCCTGGGTGTTTGTAGAATACACTTTCTACGCTATATCAAGACTTTTCGTCAGTTAGTTTGGGGCAACGTATCAGAGTAGCCTACCGTGTCACTGGTTCATTGTCTCGTTCTCCTTTATCGACTAAGGTGAACTCGTAATAGTTTCAAGCATATCAAGTGACGAGCATAACATTGGGGAATGTTGGTCGGTGGCCTATGCTCTTATGGGGGGTACAGTCGTTTGTTTTGTTTTATTTGTTTTATTTACTTGAAATCTTACAAAAATTAAGAATTTATTTTCTAAAAACAATTTAAGTCCATTTTATGAAAATTATTTACAACTTGGGAGAAACTAGTTCAGTATATTTAAAATGTTTCGTTTCCTCTTTTAAGGATGGGAAATCGGTATTAGATAGTACTACTACTACTACTACTACTACTACTACTACTACTACTACTACTACTACTACTACTACTACTACTACTACTACTACTACTACTACTACTACTACTACTACTACTACTACTACTACTACTACTACTACTACTACTACTACTACTACTACTACTACTACTACTACTACTACTACTATTCCAAGTATAATCATTTTGTGAATTATATCAACAAGCAATTACATAACTGAACAACACTTAGAAATGTAAGTGATAATCAAAGAACTATCAATTCATTAATTTATTGTTATTATTATTCGTGTAATTTTAATTATTTTGAAATACACGAACAGACAAACGTATTCAAGATTAATATTGAAGATTTATGTAGATATTGTACATTGAATGGCAGACAATAAAACATAAAAGATTGAATGTACACTAATTAAAAGATAATTTTAACTTGAACAAAAATAGTTAATATTATCAAATCAAAATTATTGTGACATAAATGCGAAATTAATAATAACAAATGATATGTAGATCATTATGCCAAATGATCGACAAAGATAGAGAATATTTTATAGGCAATAAAAATGAATTGTCAACATTTCGTTTCTTTTTCTTATCAACTTTGTTCGTAGTAAAATGATAATTTTTATTTAGGATAATTACAAGGAGGGTAAATTAAAAAATTTGAAAAGATGAAAAAAATGAAAAAATTGAAAAATAATGTTTATTATTATTAAGAAATAATTCTGATTGACAAATAAAATTTTTAGATAAAGTTAAAAAGTTTTATGAATTTTATTGGACGTTTAGAAGTTATCGTTAAATTAGAAATTTACACTTATTTATTTGATTGAGAAAAATGAAAAGAAATATGGTTATTTTGGTGAGCTTGAAGTATTTGTTACCAACTTTCTAACCACATCGTTCAGCCCCAAACTACTGAGAACTTAAAACTTGAAAAATGTAGAAACGTTTGTGGAATATGAATGAAAGCTTTATTGTAAAATTAGTCTGTACATAGAAAATGAAGTTTATTGATAGATTTTTCGGTAGTCGTAGCCTTCAAAGAAATATGATAAGAGCATGGGTAATTATTCAGTGGAAACGTAACGTGATATTTCATTTTCATAGATTTTTCCGAGAAAATTCCATTCAGTATTGATTGACTCAAAGGTCTTCGACATATTTTCGTACAACAAAAGACTTTGTCGAGAGATATCACTGGATTCTTAACAATTCTAAACTTGCTTCCAATCCCATAGAAAGTATTTGTTCTGTCAAGTTTACAGGCAGACCTTGCTAACAAACTACAAATTACTCGGAACTTTATATCTATAAGTTAAAGTTCAATGGCCAATATGTTCAATATAGTGCTTTTTTGGAATAGGTAGAAAATATCTTGGTTTCCTGAATTATATAACTGATAAGAAAAATAAATCAATTTTTAACTAAATTTTATCGATTCATTTCACAATGAATAATATTGATTGAATATTGAGTAAATTTGAAATAAATGGGATTTGAAGTAGACTAATCGATCGAATGCCGTTTGAGATCGATGTTAATAGTGAAAGATAAAAATGAATGTCACAAAGAACAAATAGTTGATCAATGGAATTATTACATGTTAACAACATATTCGTGTTTTAAATCATATTCGTTGTCACAAAAAATTGTTCGACATTTATCATGTACAATAATGAATAACTGAAATCTATATCTGTCATTATCCGTCACCTTAATATTTTGATCCAACTAACAAATATATTGACTCAAATAGACAACCTCTAACAAACAGGAAGCATTAGACAATTATTTTATTCTAGTATACGGACTTTTGAGGAGTTGGCCAACTGAAACCAGTTTGTGATGCAACCTATGAAATCCGACAATCTAAAAAACGGCTTACATTATTAATAATCATCCACTCATTACTGACTAATTTTGAAAGTTAATTACGGAAATTCTACTGACAAATTATTATTGATAGATTTCAACTAGATTTTGTGTTGAGTGTTGAAAGATGATTGCTCAATAATGTAAACTGATTAAAGTTAAGAGTAGAATTGGTTTGGCGTCAACTCAGTTGTTCGAAGTCTAGGCGCTTAGTTCAGAACCTGAAAGTACTGGAATTGATTCCTGTTGGACTAATGAATATCTAGTGCTAAAATTTTCGTTCACGGATGGAACAGTTATCCAATACTACCTGGTGTTCAATGGCAGTAGGATTAAAATTTGTTCATGATGTAAACTATGAAAATCCAACAATTTCCACAAACTGTTTACAATATTTATTGTCTTAATAAGAGTATTTAACACTTGTTGTTTTTAAACTGTATTCATTACTAACTGACATAAAACAAAGTGCTTTCTTCAAACGACCAGTATCTTCAATGATGCCGCATTCTCATAATGGAAAGAGAGAGTTATGAAGCGTTTCACATACAAGTAGGACTTTCCATATTGTCCTATAGACTTTCTTCGCTAGTGATAACCTCCATAAATCTCTGAAATAAATGATTCCTAGGGATAATAACAAAAGGAATAAGTTGTGAACATCTATCCCGATCCGACAAACGATGGTCAGTTGCCAGCTATTACTTCATATATTGATCCAGTTCGTTTCTACAAGGTGAATCAGCGGAACATAGTTAAATAAATAAATATCATTTTATACACACTAATGATGAAAATTTGTTTAATGTAAAAACTACAAAATTAACGTTATTTTACTCCATTGATAAACATGTACATACTTGCAAACACACACACATATATATATATATATATATATATATATATATATACGTACGTGTTGATGTGTGTACCTGTATGTACAGCCTAGCCATTTAATCTCTTTCTTCAAAATCTATAAAATCCCCAATAGACATTGAGATTTTCAATCTATGTCAATCTGCGAATAAATATTCAAAAAAATCAAAAAACACAAATAGGTATCTGTTATTAGTTGGGGGCTTAATTAAATTTTTTTTTACTTGATACTATTCCCACCGGTTCGTTGTTGTTGAAGAGTAAAAAAGAAAAAAAATAATGACGCTGTCTTTTCATCGAAACTAAAGGCAAAGAAACAATGTGAATGAAATAAACTTCAAAATTCACTCCATCGATGTTCATTTTTACGCTCTATACCAACCACACTGTTTGATTTCACATGTCTCCCAGTGTTTTTTTCACTGTATGCCTTCATATGTTTGTTAATTTCTATCAGTGTGCGTGTGCGTGTGTGTCTCAATTTCACTATCAAAAAACAAACATAATTTCAATTAATTCTTTTTTCGTTAACAAGGAATTAGTTGGGGTGGCGGGGAGGGGCAAGGTAGAGAATAAATTGTGTTTTTGGTTTTTCATTATCAAAATCTATGAGACACTGACTAACACTGGTTCGATGTAAAAAATGTTAAATCATAACATTAATTTTTTGAGAAAATGTTTAGAATAATAGTAGTATTATTGTAGCGTATTAGTGTTATAATGAACTGAATATATATATATATATATATATATATATATATATATAAGACCTTGAACGACATGGCTCAAAATCGTTTGCAATGGCGCAAGTGCATCTATTCATTGTGTTCTCTCAAATCCTAATCTTCTGGATTCATCAGCACCTCTACCTTTGTCTTTCTAACCTTATCTCACTGAATTATACTTGTTGAATAATATCTTCAAACCCTAGTATTCTTCATTAGCATTAATATCTCTACTATCTTTATCACTATGGGATTTGATTCGACACTTGCGTCTCTGTGTTAATGTGGTATGGCAACCTGAACTTATGTACATACGTACGTAGTTCTACGTTGCAATTGACTGACTGACTGATATATATAGTCAAACTGTAAAGTATTAAAATTAGGTAGGAGATTTTTAGCACATGAGAATGATTTCTTGGCATCTGAGTTATCTGGACTGAATGATACGATTGTAGATCTTCCACAGTCTTTCCAGATAAAAACAAATCACCAGCACAAACAGAAGTGAACTATGAAAATATCTTCACAAGCGATTAGCAATTTGTTCTGTTGACCTTTGATTCGATTGGTTGATGTTGACACTTGTGCACAATGCAATTGTCAACATATTTATAATAAGAGTATAGTATTTGTCTAATGTTACTACCTCTCATTCACACTAATCTTAGCATACGTCAATAATTTCTAAAGAAGATTTAAGAAAATTTATCTCAAGACCAGTCACTCGTGAATATGTCTAGAATTATGCAAGATTGTTTCATAAAGATCTCCACTGGTTTGTTATGTAGCTCGTTCGTAAACAATTTTCATAACAAAAATGAAATCAACTAAAGAACCGTTGAAAAATAGATAACAATGGACATGTTAGAAAGACCTATGTTGTCATTTCGGTTTGCTTGACATAATATCAAGGGAATATTCCTAGAGGTTATTCAGTACATTTCACACTTAACATGAACACTGATCAAGTTAAAATAAATATGAAATCGAAAACTTTATTACGATATTTCATAGCGAAAAATAGGTAACCTTGGAAGTTTAAAGTTTATATCTTATAATTTATTTGATTGGATGCTCCTTACTTACTTACTTACTTAATTACTTACTTACGCCTGTTACTCTCAATGGAGCATAGGCCGCCGATCAATGCTCTCCAACCTACACTATCCTGGGCCTTCCTTTCCAGTTCTTTCCAGTGTTTGTTCATTCTTCATATATATTTCTCTATTTCTTGGGATAATGTGCTTCTTGACCTTCCTCTTTTCTTTTGACCTTGAGGGTTCTATGTGAGGTCTTGTCTTGTGACGCAGTTCGGTGCTTTTCGCCGTATGTGTCCTATCCATTTCCAGCGCTTCTTCCTGATTTCCCCCTCCACTGGAATCTGGTTTGTTCTCTCAAACAGTAGTTTGTTGCTCATGGTGTCTGGCCGATGGATCTGAAGTATTTTGCATGGACAACTGTTTATGAATACTTAAGTCTTCTGAATGATTGCTTTCGTCGTTCTCCAAGTTTCCGCACCGTTGGTTGCTCAGTAATCTCTAATTATGAAAGAATGATTATCTCTTAAACAGAATAGGAACTAATACGAACTAGTACACACACGGCTTGAATATTAGACTATGACGATCGAACCCAAAAGGAAAATATGAGTTTTAAAAAAACGCTTGGCATTCAATAAAGTCATAACTGAAGT